GAAATCCCACAAAACGCCGTGGGAATTCTCTATGTCTGTGTCGCATTAAAGTATGAAATTTAAAATCCTCACGTGACCAATTAAATGACATTGACGGCTATAGTAGAATGAGCTGTATGTATTTTACATAACTATTACAAACTTGTTGACTAAGTATATTTGTGATAAACCGAATGATATAATTGAGGTCTACACAATAATGATTGTTGGCTACCAAAGAGTGACCCGATACCAACTGAGGATTACTTCATTTATAATATTTCATTATATTGGAACTTACCTCTTTTAAATCGGACGATATAATCAGGTTTAGTGCATTGCCAAGCACATATCGAAAAAGTGTCGCCATTTTATAGATATAAAAATGTAGGCTATACGGAGACAAACATATTGAAATATTGTTCATTTGTTTCAACATGAACAGACACATTAAAACCAAGACCCCAGAAATTAATGTTAGGTATTTACTAAGGATTCCCGATATCCCAAAAAAGTAGTTAAAATAAACGAGGTACTTTCTGTAAATACACAAAAAATAATTGTTAGGAATGGTAGTTCCGTAAATTGATAAATATTAGTAATGGCAATTAAGAAGAGCATCGTGGACCGATAATCAACAAGAAAATTACAGTTATCGGAGATAATAGATTGTGATTTTCAGTTCAATATCTGTATATTTGCCAGATGATAATGACAGGGTTTTATTTTGCTCTATATCAGCGCAAGCGATAATGATAAAGACTAATAAAATGAGATATGCCTACAACCTTGCGATTAGCCTAAACGAGAGGCGAAATTTGTAAGATAGAACGTCGTACGAGAGAAGAGATATCAGGACGCAACTGAAGCCGTCGCGGGAAAAAAGTGCGCGTAATGCGATATATGTAAGCTTGCAATTGGCAAGGAGTATTATTAATGATTGTACGAGTCAAGAATACGAACTCGAGTAATACCTGTAATTTATATTCTATCGATTGCATTCAAATGCAATAGTACTAATATTATTTCTAAGAAGTAAATGAATCATTTCGTAGATTTACAAATCTCCAACTCTTAGAAAAGTGCCCACAGCGCAGAGGGCGGAGTTTGAGATTTACAGAATTCCAACGAATTTGAAGATTAACTGAAGTAGGTCAGATTAGGGAGTCGCATATTTGATAGATTAAGTGTATGAAATTTGAAATGTTCTGAAATTTGTTGTCTTTTTCGCAGTTTGATTGGTAAACCTTTTAACACTTACTATTCAACTAAGAATATTTATAGGAAGATTAATATGAGCGCACCTACAGCTTCACTTTTTCAGTCGCCTACAGCTACAGGTACCGGCAGCCTGGGTGACTATTATTTAGGTAAGTCTATCATTTATTTTGTGACTTGAAAGTGTTTTAAAATATATGTACAAAGAATTATTTCTTCACTATTCAGTAATGCATCTGGATGTCATACACAGTCAGTATGATTATAATTGTTAATAATTAATCTTACTTATCATATAGGTGTAGGAGCACCGTTATTACAACATCATCACGCAAGCGCGTTTGTGAGCAAAATGCAACACAAAACCCACAATCAAGGTAAGTTAAAAAATAACTCGATCGTTCAAATTTGCGAATACTTTGAGATGATTAAAATGAAACTTTATTAAATAAGGTTTTATAGCATAGCATTTCAAGAAATATAATTTCTAAATTCTAATTGCATCATTAGTTTGTACTTCTTTCAACACCCTTTGTTTTTTTCTACTCAGCGTCATCTCCAGTTTCTCCCAGCAACAGCCAAAATACAGGTAAGAAACCACTTTACATTATTTGTGTCTTTTCTGTTGTATAAACTAGTGTTTCAAAAAAAAAACCTCGGAAGAAGTTCCGGTAATATGATATATTTATGGAATGCGACTTAACCCTTTGTGCCTTCTGTGTACAGTCCCATAAAACGATTTCATTTTTGATAAAATATTAAAAATATACCGGTAGGTTGAAAAATTCACTTTTATAAATGTACTTCCACTCAATTGAATCGGGTTTTTTCATTTTAGGATCTGGATCGCCCACGGAAAGTAATTGTTCCACAACATCTTCGCCGTATCATATCACACCACCACCAACTTCCCCACCAGGCATGCTCTATCCACACTCAACATTAGAATCAGCAACATACCTTGTATCATCAGCACCTTCAAGCAGAACTTTAACTAACAGGTAAAGTATATTCAGTTACTTAATAGTATGGTACTGGGGGTGTACGGATGATGCATTTTCTGGCAATATTCAATCTTATATTAGTTAGAATTTTGATGATATATGTATAATAATATTTTCATTTTCATTACCAGTAACAGCTACCCTGGAGTTTCGAGTTCATACGGATCAAAAGCATATGAAGTATGGTATCAGAAGCCGTCGAACAATATCAATGTAGAAGGCGTAACAAATTCTTCTCCAAATACGGCATTAGGAACTTATTCAAATTCAAGCCCTAGTACTGGAAGTACTACGTCATCTAGTTATGTAACTTCTGCCGCAGCGTATGCTCACACCAATCCATGGGAAGCAGCATTACATTCAACTAATACCTGGTTTGAAATGCAAAGTCTACAACATCACCAGCAGGTAAAGAATTTGTTCATCTATTCAGTGATTGCAAAATGGTTTCTGAGGCTTTTATTCTTTTCTGCCTCCAATACCAGATAAATAATAACTACGAATCTTCACAAAATTGTCACAGCGTGATTAATGTTGTTTACCAGTTATCATAATTATCAATATATGTAATAATTATATTATGAGGTAAAAGGTATACTTATGTACAACAAAAAATCTCTCTAATGTAAACATATTTTAATTGAGGTTAGATTTGTAAATCGTTTTATAAATAAAAGTTTGTTTAGGGAAGAGTAACGAGCTTTTTCGGAACAAAGGTTTTATTACCAAAAATGTTTTACCAACTAGCAAAACGTTTCTAAATTTGTGTCGGTAATATGGTGTTCATAATATTTTTATAGATGGCAGCGGCAGCATACCCGTCTGAATATCACCATTCGTTTTCTGCGGCACCTCTAACATCACTAGGAAGTTTATCCACAGCAGGTATGTAATTTCTCATATTTTTGTTATAAAATCGAAACTCTGTATGAAAAATAAAACCTTTTGAATCATTGTTTCGTGGAATAGAATATTTTCTACTACAAAGTACTGTGTGTGGAAATAATAGTTTTCTATTTTCACAGAATCATGAATAATTTATTTTTTTGTTTAGCTCAACATCACAACCCATACGACACCTTCAAGCCTGTACTTCCAGGCACAACTGGAAGTATGTATTCTTCAGAACCCGCACCCCCACCTGCACTTCCGGCTATGATCCCAACTCCTTCAATACCGGGACCAACACGTTCAACTCGTCGATATTCTGGACGGTAAATTTCTTTACAGATGTTTATTCTTAAAACCATTGTAATTAGGATTAGTTTTTACATCCTGTTACACACTTTCGTTCATAAAAAGACAATTCACGAACAGGCATTTAAGCGCAAGGTGTTTTTTATTAGTGAAAATGCCAGCAAAAAATTTCTTTCATGGCCAATGTAATTTTCACCCCTAAGATGTTATTTTCTCCGGAATTTCGTTTACCCAAACATCTGTGATATTTTTAAAATCTCTTGTTTCATAAGTCGCCTGCATTTAGCTTCTGGTTTTGGTTGAGAATTTTTTTTCACAATACTTGCTTATAGCACAATACCTATTGAAAAATAAGAATGAAAGAATGGGTGTTCGTTATATAATGACTGATTTCGTATTGAATATAGTCATACGAAAATCAAAATGGCGCTTATCTGGATTTGACATATAACATTATTATTTCAGATCGATTTGTGAATGCCCAAATTGTCAAGAAGCCGAGCGATTAGGACCAGCTGCTTCATCATTTAAACCTAAAGTTCACAGTTGCCATATTCCTGGTTGTGGAAAGGTCTACAATAAAACATCACATTTGAAGGCTCATCTAAGATGGCACACAGGTACCATTATTATTTATTTTATGTATCGTTAAATTATATCGTCAGAAGTCTTATGCTGGGCCTTGTTCGAAGTGAAAGGCGTGATTACGCGTCAAAAAAGTATGTTTACCACCATTTTGCGGATAACCGTATATATTTCGAGGACTTTTGTCTGCAATTTAAGTGGACATCTTAAACAAATGATACATGATTGAAAGATATTTAAATGTCTTCTTTATTATAATCCTATTTCTATCAAGTTAATATTCGACCGACAAAACAACCATTTTATGAGAATGTCCAACGACAACAATTCCACTTTAACCGCGACGTTCAACTTTCCCAGACTATTATTTCAAATTTCCGGCATTTTCTCTCTTAAACGATCTTCATTATGTAAAAATGGAAGGTAGAATTAACGCCTTTGGTCTTTGTAACATCATTTTGAGCGTGTGACCCGAACACTTAAGCACCTGACAACTAATTTTAAATTACTGCCTTGTTCGATAATTAAATCGAGCGTCGTTATTTTATTTTTTATTTTACTAATGCCTTAACGTAACGTACTACAAAATGATAGAAGAGTCAAATAAACCTAGTTTCACAATTTTTTGATAAAGGTAATTTGAAATTGCGAACCAAGAAGATGTAGTTTTTAATTATAAATAATCGATTACGCATAGCGAAGAAAAATATTTATATGCTTACACAATGTAAATTTATCAAAATCATCATAAAAAAGACCAATCTGTAGGTTGGTTGGCGCTTGGGCAAAAGTATTTAGTATACCTCGAATATTTTTGACTGTTGCTATCATATAACAAATATAATCCTTGGAATATATGAACTATTTTCGCACTTAAGTTTTCTACTTATGGTATTTGAAATTTGTGTCGATTGAATTATGATCAAATTCGGTCGTCTGAGAAATTTAGATTGTTCGTTGTGTTCTATCGGCAAAAGCCGTTATCATAATAAACACACCAATTGAAGTCAATTGCCCTTAGTACTCTCGGCGCCCAGGAAAATGTAATCCATGCTATTTTCTTACACTACAGGGGAGAAGAGATTTGCATGTCCCGTGTGCAACAAGAGATTTCAACGAAGTGATCATCTCAGCAAACACGTAAAAACTCATACTACCACTGGTCAGGAGAACGGAAACACAAAAATGAACGGAGTGAAAGTTGAACCGACCGCAGTGGCTGGGGCAGCTGAAAATGTAACTGGCCGCGCAAAGTAGAGGTTTAAATAATACACAATAATAGGAGTGATTATATGTTAAACAGAACAACGGGTATGAGTATATGGAGCCTGATTGAAATTGAGATACAACTCACAAAGTGTATGCATCAAGGTGAAATGAAGTCGTCCACTTTTAGTAGCATATGTCAAGGCGTTCATTGCGGATTTTCTACGACACAGGCATAATGAGCAAAGTTACATTTCGTATTGACTTTTATTGTTTGGACTGGTCTAACAATATTATATACGACCGTCAACGAAAACACTGTAATAAAACACCCACAATTAAATGACATTTTTGGTGACGAATAAAAATTATGTTTTCAGTTTAGATATAGATATTAGAACCCATATTAACGATCTAGCAATGGTCCATATTAGAGTGAATATATAAATATATATTGGGATTACGTAACCGATTGACTGTGAATTATTGGTTAATTTTGTGCACATTTTATAATAAACCTCCACGTCACAAAGAAAATATGTTATCGAATTAGGTGTTCATGCAAAAAAAAATTGGCTCTAAATTTTAACCAAACAAATTTAATTTGAATTTTAAGCTTTTAATTCACGTATAATGACCGTATGTATTAAAATGATAATCACATAATTAGTCGCATCGTAAGAAGAAAAAAACTGCTGAATTGATTTTTATGTTTATTTATATAATTTATACATTTTTGTTATCATATTTTGTTGAATTGTATTAATTTTGGTTTGTATATTTGAAAGTTTCTCTGAATTTGTTTGATTTTTGTTCATTTATTTCTTTTGCACATTTCCAATAAAAAAAGCATGTATCAAAAGGGATCATTCTTTTTCAAAACTTGATAGAGTAAAGAAATGAGTTTTATGTAATTGAACCTGGACAAATTTATTTACTTTAAGATTGTGGTTGATAGTTACAGAATTAATAATTGACGACATGGCCAAAATTATTTCATTTATACAAACGGAAGATTGTTTTCCAGTTCTTGTGACTACGATAGAATAATTAAAATTCTCAAGTGTGGCGTGATGTTGTAATAGGTAAATAGAACCAACCTGTTTCAGATATGGGTTATACAGAGCTGGATTGAGGGAACAGTGGGGCCCTATCTATTAACTTCAATGGGGTCATTAGAAATCTGTGGTGGTATGGAATGCATAACTAAATAAATTTAGAGATTCTTTCGCTATCATAATATTCACTTCAGTCGACTTTATGTAATAAAATTATCGCCAATAATTTATAAAAAATTGCTCTTAAATCACCCCTAAACTTATGCAAATAAGTTTACCAAAAATTTTATCGTGTGCGATATGATATCTAAATTAAATGATCATTATAAAACCAATCGAACAATCAGAATGTAGCAAAAGAAATAACTGCGGACTGCAAGTATCCTAAATGTTAAAAATGCTCGTTAAAGCCTGGGCAATTTCTTTTATCTCGACAATTTATCGTGGCACATCGAATCTTTGTAGGGATTACAGAGAAAATTTCAGCACTGGACTCGTTTTGAAGCATAGTGTTTCTTCTTTATCTCACGTGGCCAAGTCAATGAGATTGAAAGCAGTGCGTGGAATAGGATAGTGAAGTATTTTCTTATCTTTCTGATCTAAGCATCTGATTGTATCGCATCCAAACATTTTAATATGAGCATATCGAAAAAAAATGGACCGTTAATAACACGCTTGGTCAAGGATACTTTGAAGGTACAACCTTGGGGGCAAATTCAAACAGCATTCGGAAATTTGGGGTCAAATTTTAAACATTATTCTGTTTCGATTTTCACGTGATTTTCGAGATTTTTCATGTAAATTCACATGTTAAATTCTCACACACGTTGATCGATATGAATAAGTACCGTATAACTACTTGTGAGGCACTGAAAAGTGATTCGGAATTGTTACATTTATTTCGTCACATTCAAAATACGATATCATATATCGGAAACAGTTGATATGATTTTGTAAGTCTTTATTACGGCATTTTAATACATATCGAAGCGAATTACTTTTCTATATAATTAGCGACACTATCACGTTTCGGATTACCAAGTCGAAATTTATTCCTGAATGACAACGGTTGTGTGACATATAAAAATCTAGAGTGTGTTCAGGGTAACAAAACATATCTTCGTTTACAAGTAAACTTAAAATATTAACGAACGCAGAAAAATATTAAAAACACACTCTCAACCTTTATCCAACTTGGACCGATTGCAAACGCGCGATTCATCTCCATCTTAAGAAGTATTGCTTGGGGATATATTTTTTGTTAAGATAAAATACACTTGAATATTGACTCTAGATTATTTTCAAGATTTAAAAGACATAAATGCGTTCCTTTGCGACTTTAATGGCGTTATATGAATGCAAACGACGTCGACCACAAAAATTTAACCTCAATTTCTTATTATCACAGTTATTATTGCAGATATTGATCGAATCTTACCACGAGCCGTTTTTGTATCTAATAAACGTGGTTACGGCCTAGTCTAACAATATTTATTTATTTAGATGCAAAACTGTGCCGGTCAATGTTGGTACACCCGACAAGGCACGTTAATTTTTGAAAACACACGCGGTTAAAGTTTTACAGGGGAAAATAGTCCCAAATTCCGGGCATCTGTTCTTTCCAGCGATGACTCATGTCATTTTTGTTTTGAAATTAATTAAATTTCATTAAGACTAATCGACCGCACTACCATGTTTTACACAAGCACAACATGTCTGAAAAAATAATAGCACATTACGCCAAATTACTTCTGCCCAAAGGCTATTTATTGGTCGCTATCATTGCAAATGAACTCCTTCGTCGTTATATTTTGTACGCTGTAAAGTCTTCAGCATTTCTTTTGTTCCATTTGTGAATTAATGATTCGCACAAGTGTATGGCTAGTCTGTAATTTGTTACTCCATTAAGTAAACTATTAAATGAACCTTTTGCCAAACCATAGATTTTACAAAGCCATTTAAAAAGAAAGTACGCCACCATTTTATTTCGATTTTCAATGTAACGTCGCCGAACTCGGCCCCGTAATCACCAATAGTTTGCGAGTAATGCTCCGTGGATGTTAGAAATGTAGTCGCATTAAGCAATATTCAGATAGGTGTGTCACAACTATAGATACTTTCTTATACTATTCTTACTATTTTGATGTAAAATATATATTTCACTCTGAGATAAGATGAAACTTGACGAATGAATATGCTGACTTCTCGAGTGCAAAAGGTGAATATGCCACTCGTCTTCTTGCTATCAACTTGAACAACAAGACGGTGAAAAGATCAAAGCAAATTTCACACTGGAAATAAACGTACATGTCCACAGATTAAATTATTTATTAGCTGTTTGGTCTGGTATTCTAAGATCTCCGGTTGTAAATGACTTGCGCGTGGACGTTCCAAAACGAATTCAATGAATAAATTATATACTTTATCTAACTTTATCTCTCTTACACGAACGTAATTACAAAACAGCGTTTCAGTATCGTTTTTGCGTCGTTTTCATATGCGATGAAAAGGATGAAATACTTGTTGTTTTCAGCATCGGATATTACAAGGCCTCATTACGGCGCCCATTTGTGTATATGTAGAGCTAGCTGTTCTGTTTTCATAACCTCTTCACTTTTATCACATCTCAGTTTGGCGGAGAGATTGGGTTTAATGATAAACCAACCAAATAATGACAAATTTAAACGGTTAATGACCCTTTCATTAAACAAAATAGGTTGCATGGAAAATTTAATTCTTGTATTGTGTATAAGTTGATACACTGGAATGTTATCATATCTATAGGGGCGTATTTGAACAGATTAAACTTCAAATATATTGCACAATTTCAAGCATATTTTCTCTCAATGCACAGAACTCCATAATCAACATCCAATGAGGTACAGTAAAATCATTTGGCTTGAAATCTTCTGTTAATGCTCTACCTTCACCAAAAAATAGCATTGCTCATTACAAGTAAAGAGCTATAATAAAATCCGAAAATTGCCAAATGTTACTTAAGAGTATGAAAAATGGTGAGCTCAGCAGCGAATCAGATTCAGGGTGTTCATTTTTACCTATGCGAAACAAGAGTGAGAGATAATTCAAGATAGGTATATAAATTATATCAGGACATTTCACATACACTCTGTTTTTTTATACTTTCAAATATGAAAACAATTTATCCTCACTAATATACAAAAATTTATAAGCTATTTATATTTTTCCCAGATTTAGAATTTGTTTTTGAATATTCTCGTGGTTGTCAATTTCACTTGTATTTATATATATGATGATTCAAATTTATGAAGATAGATTATGATAATTATAATTATGTTGCAGAGTTTCACGTGCGAAGACGATTTCCAAGTAACAACTATTCGCTTTTTCAAACGAACACAAGCCATTTTAGGAGAAAGTGACCGACCATCCGTTCTTTAGAACCCAACGAACTTGAATCTTTTATTACATCACTATGCTTTTCTGTACATATCATATGCGGCGTGTCGTCAGAACGGTTACAACAATTTGTGCTTCAAGCCTGACCCACCCATATTGAATATTGTATAGAGTTAATGCCACCCAGCCCCGTCGCATGTAATTATAGGCTTTTGTAAAACTTGGCATATATTGAGGGATCAGGATGGATAACAATTCAGTAATAACTTCCACAATTGTAATAACTTTCATGACGACCTTTTGCGACAAATTCTCGCCCCGAATATTGGTAATAACTTCTTTACACGCAATGTGAAAACGTATTCCTGTCGTTGACCGCTGGTAAGCCTTTTTCAAAAATGAAAAAAATTAAATATAAGGAAAACTATTTCAGTTTCCTCTGGTTTTAAACTGTACTGTTCACGTATTTTTTTCAACAACAAGCAGGAAGTGAAGCATCTATTTCAATTTTCATTAACAGATTGAAAAATTTCATTCATGAAAAGATTTCGAGTCCGACACCCCTCAGCGACTCGCTGATTCGGTAAACACTTTTTATAAGATTATATTTAACAATTTACGTGTCCGGTGTGTCCAACTTCTCGACAAAAAAACGGGTACTCCCGTAGTATGTGTATCAGGTAAGGGTGAGGGCATAATTTTATTCCTATTTTCCTTATTGAAAATAAGATGTTACCGTTTTAACATTAGGTTAAATAAAACAAACGATTGCTTCGGAGTTCCAAACAAAAACAAATACTAAGATTTAAACTGAATCCAAAACTTCAGACCGCTGATATGACGTTAACAATGATTGATGAATATTTATCGATGAATAGATCAGTAATATTATACATCAGACAGCTATGTATGAAACAAGTAAGTATGAATAACTTTTGTTGTGACAATCGATATTTTCTATATTTGGCTCCGTAGCTCCACCTAACGTTATAAGCGGAACATTATAATGAAATTATATGATGGTGATTTTTAATGCTGTCTCATTTCTGAAGGTATATTTATTTTCTTAATTTGTAGATGGATTCATAATCCGCTTCTGAATTTCATGTAACAGAGTACATCGTATTTGGTATATCATTGGAGAAGGTCATGATTTTAGTCTCAAATCTCTAGTCGGCTCATCTGAGCAAAATATTTTGATCACGCTCCCACTTTCCATATTATATCAAAAAGTTATTATTATCAAGTGTTTTCTGCTCTTAAGAATTCAGCCTAATCATGCGAAAAAATGAGCAATAGATTTGGAAATGAGGTGTCTTTTTCCCAATTGCCGTCCGCGTAGTTTTTTGTCTGTCAGCGAGAAATTTTGGTACTTGCCTTGTTCTTTTTTCTGCCAGCATAGCCTTT